AATTGTTGAATGATGAATAAATAATGATGCGAGCCTTAAGACCTCAATCTTGTATCTTGTATTAGAGATCCAAATAAATTTCATGAATTGATCTTGTAATGAAGTTGTAACCATCATGTATTTATTCTTGTGATGGATGATTATTCAAATCAAGTTTCTTTTTCCAACATCTTCTTTAATGCATGCTTCATTTGAATTCAAATGACCATGGTGTGAATCCATCAAAATAGTCACACAAAAATAATCTTGAATAAATATTAATATGATGAACGATTATTTTTTGAATGAGCCCCTTTGATAACCTCTATTTAATTAACACTTAAATTCACATGATAAAAATTCAAGTATTCCGAATAAATTCTTCCAACACGATCTTGAATTTAATCACCCCACTCTAACGAAATTCACCCTGCGTCATATAAGTATAAAAAATCGAACCATGCTTAAAGGCTTCGAATGATCACTAGAAAAGGGATTTGAGGTGAAATATTATCGCATTGAGAAATTGGCACAATGAACTGAACTTAGAGATCCAGAAACTCTTAAATCATGACAGACGTCCCATAAAGGCTTTTCGTGGCTTTCTAAACACAATTCGTCTTCAACTTTTAAAGAAAACTTGCAGATGACTTTCGGTCGAGGTGTTTTGAATTGACTTGCATAGCCTGATCTTTTCTTGTATTTCAAGGTAAGGTGAAAAACATGTGAACCAGTGATCATGGAACCTTGACTGTTTTTATGAAGAATTTCGGAGACGTTTGAGGCCATCTGTTGAAACAGGGCGTGGAAATAAATACACGATTCTCTGAAAGTTCCCTTGATGAATCATTCTTCGAGAATCAACGATCACTCGCACTTTTGTCTTGGGAGACTCAAAACCCTAATTGAGACGTGACGCCTGATGCTCTTGATTCAGACCTGTTTCTGCACATGAAATCAAAGAAAAAAAATACACTTCGTGCTTGGTTAGAAGTTAGTCATGCATAAGATAAAATGTCCACAATACTCGATAATCTTTGCACAGGAAATGCTCGAAGGTGAAACGTTCAAAACCGACCATATTCCGTGGCATTGATGTATATAAGAAAAAATGAAAATGAAGATGGGATCTTAGGTCAAAAATTGGGGTATGACAGACTGGTACAAGGTTCTTGGTAGTTGTAAGAAACTGATCAAGAATCTTGCTGAAGGAAAGGATGATACTCTGAAGCATATGGGCAATAAGGAACAACTTACTGCTATAAAAAACAATGGGCTTGGAACTTGTACTATTAAAGAGTTATAACAATTACAGAAAAGAGGGAATGCAACTTATAATGCATCTTTCCTCTGTGTTCTGAGGCATGACATGTCTGGATTAATTGTTGTTGAGAAGGACTGGAAGAATGGTGTTCTACAAGATAGTATGGTTAACTACAATACCAAGAAATTAAGAAGGCTCTTTGATAGGGGAAAGAGATGACAAACCACCTAAAACTGACCAAGAAGTTGTGCTTCCATTTGTGTGTTTCCATCTGTGTATCTGCATATGTGCAGGTCTGACTGCTATGTGTTTTTGCTTGTGTGCAACATGTTTCCATAGTTGTATTTCCAGTTGTTTCGTTGCCTAAGTGCAATATGTTCTGATTTTTTCTGTGTTTCCATTGTGTACATTTACTCTATTTCTTTTTGTCAATATTTTGGCTAAAATGGGAAGTAAAGTGTTGTGTCTTGATGTTACATCAAATGTCTTGACATGTTAATTTAGCATTATGATAAGAATGTGTGCTACTGCTTCTATGAGAGTAGATGTGTGTATGGTTGCTCATGCAATTATTGAGGGGAGCATGCTTGTTATGCTTGCTCATGCTTGTGTATGTTGAAGTTGCTGCTGCTGCTGCTTCTGTTATTCCGCTGCAGGTGCTCTGGTGTGAGTTTTGCCCTTGAGAGGGATAACCTATTATGTGTGACAGGGGGAGTGCTAACTTGTCTGGTTGTACAAGCTTGTTGGTTGTGTTGTGTTTTACAAAGTTTACATGATCAACATGTAGCTTGTGTTGTGGGTTTATTTCTTTCTCCAATTGAATTTGGTTTTTGGTTGTTTTAGCCAAAATTTATCAAAATGAGAGATTGTTAGTTCTATGGATTTTTGGTTGGCTAAATTTTGGCTAAGTATGGTTCTAAACATGGTTCTATGTTGATGTTGAGTAAGATGGTGCAACATCTTTATCAACTGCCATAACAAGTTTTGCTGTTATGTGTTTTTCTGCCAGATGTCACAAAAGATGTTGTGACATCCTGAGGCTGATGCAACATGTGCTGCTTTTGGATATCCTTGAAAATTTAATTTGAAAATACGAGTATCTAGAATATTCTGTACTCATTATAGATGCAGGCCAATCGAAGATTTTGTTAGAAACAAGTGCAAATTTGATTGGTTACTAAAAAGGATTGATTGAGACTTTTTAGGAAACTTTTTATGAAGATTGCTTCTATTTTTATGGAGAATTTTCTGCAAAGATTTTTCAGCTGAAGAATGGAGTTAATTGAAGAATCCAAGCGAGTCCAAGCCCAACTGAGAAACCTATATAAGGAGTCGTCCAAGACCTAGTTTTTATTGTAAAACCTTGTGAGAAATAAGGGTTTAGGGTTTGATAGTCCTTAGGTTCTCCGTGTGGTTGTATGTACGTCTTCATGTATTTTTGATGCATTTGAGTTGACTGATTGTTACTTGCTTGTCAAGTTATTGTTCTCCTCGAAGTTGTGAAGCAAAAATTGAGTATTGTTCTTGGTCGAAGCTTTTAAGCAAGACTAAGTATTTGTAATTTCGAAGTGTGTTCTTCCTGTGTTAGTTTCGTGACAGTTCCTGAGACTGAAATCGTTTTTCCATGTGATTGTGAGTTTTTATCACTGCGGTGATTGGAAGTGGGATAATGATTTTTCATATCTAAGAGGTGCCTAGGTAAAAGTTGTACTGGATAGAGATTATGCGAGAAGTGGTAAATAGGGGAGTTTTGTTTTGAACTAGTACTACTGATAGTGAATTTTCTTCTTGACTTGATAGTCTCTAGAATAGGTGAATTTGCATCGAACTGAGTTAACATATCATTGTGTTCTTTTATTTCTGCAAGTTTTAAATTCTACATTGCTATTGTTCCGTTGTTGTTCTGTCAGCAGATGTCATAACATCTGTCGTGACATCGTGCTTGTACGTTGAGACATCAGTCTTGACATCTATATTATGTGTGCTAAAATTTCATTCTCTATTTTTGTCGATGTGGAATTTAACCACTCATACTTAAATTCAACAAACCATCCTTCCCAAATTTTTAACAACCAAAACCATAAACTCAACTTCAATGGTCACAGCGTCGAGGTTAATTATCCCAGCTACAATGTTAATCCAGAAAACTTTCTCTGTCTACTAACAGTTCATCACAAACCAAATATTCGAAGATCAAAACGACTTATTACCGACGAAGGAAGTCATGTTCTTTTGTTTATGTCAGGTTATGGTGCTAATGAGCTATTCAAATTTCAGAACAATCAATAGCTTTATAGTGTCGCTTTTGCTGATGCTGTGAATCAAATGTAAAGCTGCTACATTTTTCTCACAGCTTCATACACTTGGTGTATTCAAATTTGACAAAAAGATAATAAATGAACAAAGATAATAAGTGCATATTTGGTTTAGCGGTATGAAATGGAAAAGCACGGCGAAAACTCACGGTTTGTAGCTTCTGGTTTTCACGGTAAAATGCTATCCAAACGTGCGGTGGTGGCGTTTGGAAAAAGCTATACCAAACATGCTCTAAGAACATATAAGGCCAGACTAAATTACTAATGTGACAGTGTTTTAGTAAAACTAACTGAGATAATTGGGTCACAAATGGGATTAGCAGGCCCAAATATATCCTCTTACATTTGCATTTTTGTTTTATGCTTTTGGTTAGAATATTCTAAATTCTGCTTTTAAATTAGGACCACATTCTGTCTTTGGAATTCTATTGTTAAATTTATAAGTCTATGCACCATATAACATTGTTTTTGCGCATAAAGTCGTGAAACCAAGTCCACTGTGATTGTTGAAAAAGTGGTTATTAATATTAATTTTTATATCATGTGTTGATAATTCCCACATTACCACTTTTTTTTACAATATAGGTGAATTTGATTTCGAAGACATTATGCGCAAAAGCAAGAGAAACTACTTGGTTTTTGTTGGCTCTAGTGAAATTTATAGTTGGTTAATAATTTTATCAAACAATATATAGAAAATCAAGTACTAGAGATGTTCCAAAGTCTAAAAGTACATCAAGAGGTATCCAAATGAGACTATTCAGAGGAAAATGACACTTCTTTCTTGAACACTATTCTTCAAATTAATCATTATACTTTGATGCTGTCCTTTTCTTTACCAAAAAAGATAAATAATTCACATTTTTTTGTGATGACTAACAATTTCATTGTGCAAGTGAAAAGTAAAACTTGCATAGATGGAAAAGTATCAAAACTATTATAGAGGTGAATATATTACTCTAATGTCTAGGAAATGATTGACAAAGTTTTAGTGTCATTTTCATATTTGCATGAAAGTTAGAGACAAGATAAAATCATATACCAAGTAAAAAAGATTCTCTAACTTTTTTTTATAGGTAAAGAAACTAACTATAACTATATCTGTTTCTATTCGTAGCAATGTAAGGAAAATGAACCAATAAGAAAAAAAGCACCAATGCTGTTACAGTGAATAAGAGAAAGAGTATATAGAAAGAAAGAAAACAGCAAAGAATTTCTTATTCACCAATTCTACCCCACACTCACAAAAGAAAAAAAAAGTGTTGGCTCACAAATATCAACAAAGCAAAGAAGGGTGAAAATCAAATATTTTATTTTTATTTTTTTGGTATCAGATTCACATACCTATATACAATAACAAAATCAGTGGCTTCACACAGATGTACCAAGAAAAACAACACCTCTAAAAATCTTGAATGTGTCCTTTTATCCTCGAATCATGTTCACATTTCTCCGAAAGCTTCTCGGAGTTTCTGAATATCCTTAGAAAAGATATTAGAATTTTGTTGTGTATGCGACTGTTCTTGCTTTGTAGGAGGCAAAATAGTCCCGAAATCATCGGGTACTAAATTCATTTGCGGCTTGATCTCATTGCATAACGATTCAGAAGCCAACATTAAAATCGGATTGTGAAAGTAATTATTATTAGTAGTAGTAGTAGTATCATCCCACTTTGCTTCTTCTGTATGATGATGACTTTCCATCAACCCTCCCCAAGAAAAATTGTTGTTTTGCAAGTTTATCTCGGTAGAAACATTATGAGACGGAGGAATATCGAGGGAGTTGTTGCAGCAAAAGGAGTTAGGAAGAAACATAGTTGTTGCTGCTGGTGCTGTAGCAGAACTGAAATGAAAGTGATCAGAATATTTCATCTCAAAAGTTTTTCCAGATTGGTTAAACCAATGGCTACCATCATTTTCATTGTTGGCGTAACTCATCGGAATAGGATAACTCCCCAACAAATCAGTGTGATGAGAGTTGGAAGTGATGAACCTGTCAATGAAAAACTCTTTGTTGCAAGAGCCTTCCATTTCGACTGCATATTCTTTGGGTGAAATGGAAGATGATGTTCTCTGCTCATCTGATTTAGAACTCTCCGATTTCAAAAGATTTAATTCATTAGATGATAATAACAATAACTCCGGCGCTTTCTCTTGACTCTTGGAATTTTCCTCACTCAATGGTTTATGAGTTACAGGATCTATACCTTTCTGCCGCAGTTTCTTCTTCAAACAAGAGTTCCATAAATTCTTTATTTCATTGTCAGTCCTCCCCGGCAATTGCGCCGCAATTTGAGACCATCTGATACACCAAACCAAATCAAATCAAACCAAACCAAACCACACGATTACTATTATTAATTAATATTATTTTCAAACTCATAATCCAATCCACCAATTCAACTTTACCTATTGCCTAATACGGCATGAAGTTCAACAATGAGATTCTCTTCCTCTTGTGAAAACGTTCCTCTTTTTAAATCAGGTCTTAAGTAATTAATCCATCTAAGTCTGCAACTCTTACCACATCTTTGCAAACCTGCAAAAATAAACAACATTGAAAGTATTTAATTAAACTAACAATTTTTTTCACTTTATTATGTATCATATAATTGAATAATTAAATTTACCTGCTTGTTTAGGTACAGAACTCCAACATCCATGCCCATATTTTGTTATATGCCTTAGTAATTTTTCATCTTCTTCTGGTGACCATAGTCCCTTCCTAAGTTTCTGCTTGTAGCAGCAAGAGTGTCTTCCCATTTGTGAGTTTTCGAGTTTCCAATGATTATGTGATAGAGAGAATTGAAGGAAGGAAAATGAAGTGGCAACTAAGAAAATGAGTTGAGTTAATATAGGAGAGTGAGATAGATAGAGAGAGAGAAGAGTCATAGTCAATAAGGTTCTTTCAATTTTCTTTATTCTTTATTATTTTTAATTTAATATTTTTTTAATATAAGATATAGTATGTATGTAATGTAAGCTTGATCTATGTTAATGTGATAGAGATTGAGCAATGTGAAATAGGATTTGTTATTGTATAAAGTGTTTGAGTTGAAAAGAAGAGGGAAGGTGAGAAAATGGATTTCATAAAGCAGTATAACATGTCTTTTCTAAGATTTTAGCATTCATGTCTCTTACATAAATGGTGGGCCTCTTAACTCATTATAATATTATTATCAATCAATCTAAAGAAATTATTATATAAAAACAAAAACATAAAATATTTAAGATAATTAGATGTCAAAATAGATTAGTTCGAGTAGACTTTTTGATAAGTTCGAGTATAATTTCGTTTGTTATAAATTTCAAAGTCTAAGTCTGATATGTGATCTATTATAGATTTTTTAAGGTCTGTAAATGACTTTTTCGAAAGCCTATTTAACTTATTAATCTACATAAAAGTCTATTTTATTTAAATATTTATATATAAAAAATTCAATTAATAATTAAATAGACTAATAAATTAAAATATCTATGAGACTAAATGTTTATTTACCTTTACTTATTCAATTTTAAATATTAGTATAAATTTTGCAAAACTATTTATTAAAGAAAACTAATAAAAATAATTTTTAAAAATAATTAAATTTTATTTTAGTATTTTAATTCAAGACAAAATACTCATTTTGATCCTTTAACTATGAGTCATGGTTCACTTTGGTCCCTTATCTTTTTTTGTGCCAAAATATTTCTTTAAGTTTCAAAACGCAATCACGTTAGTCGTTCTGTTAATTGGCCTCCAACGCCCGTTTATTTGCGTGAGGTGGCAGGTGAGCGGGTAAATTTCTCCATCTTCTTTATTTGCAAAATGCGTATTTCACATTGCTTCAAAATCTCCTTCAAATTTTTTTCTTAACATTCTCCTTCCTAAAACTTTATGTACTTTCTTCATCTTTGGTCCTTTTTCCATGAATATGAAGCATTCATCTTCCTCAACGAACCTCTGTCAATCTGAAAGTGTTGGATCATGTATACACAGTAGCTCGCGTATTGCACCATTTTGTCGTTGTGGAGACAACGCTGTTCTTCGTAGGGAAACCACTGAGAAGAATTATGGAAAGAAATTTTGGGATTGTCACAATTACAAGGTAAGCCCTAATTTTGGTTTGAGTATGTTAGAAGATCGTAAACAGAGTTTGATCAATTTGTGAAATTTGCAGGACTCCTTGCAAAGAGGACGTGTCTTCTGCATTGTTTCATGAGGAATTGGAAGAAGACGTAAACCAAGTATTGAGTAATAGATTAGAAAGCATAACAAAGGATTTAGATGAAACCAAGAATCAACACGAAAAATTGAGGGTTAGAAATGAAGAATTAGGGGATGCTGTGTTATAACTTCAAATTCAACTCAACAAGATGTTGAAGTGGAAAAAAACAGATTATGTGTTTTGTAATATTATGTGTATTTGTCATTAAGATGTATTAGAAGTAGGAGTATGTAGCAACTTTGTGTGTAATTTTATCAGTTTGGGAAATGTATGTGCAAGCTTATGTGTAATTTTAACACATGGTATCAGTTTAATAAAACTTATTTTGTTTGGCATATCATTAATCAAAGCATATCAGTTTGGCATATCGTTAATTATAGCAACATAATTTTGGGCACATTTTATCAGTAAATGAACACATCAGATTACTTAAACTGAAAATACGTGGTTGGCATGTTACATAAGTATGTTCCAAAATACTGATAAGTTACATAGACATGTTTCAAAAGGTTGACAAAATGACATGTTACAAAAATATGTTCCAAAATACATAAACCCTAAAATTATAATTAGATGGTCCTCTTTGATGTGCTTCTCTTGGTTGGAGTAGATCGCCTGGTGGTAGAACCAGTTGCATTCTTGGCTGCTGAGAGTCTTATTGTTGGTCCTGGGGGTATAAAAGGCCTTCTCACACCTAGTTTTTGTAGCTTTTCAGTTCCTCTAGCTTTCTCCTTTGTGCCTTGCCCGGGTATTGCCTTCCCTTATGAAGACTGAGTTGCAGTCATGTAACCCTGTGCAACTGATGCTTGTGTTGCTGCAACCTGACTTGCAGTGGTTTGAGATGCAGAAACTTGTATTGTCCCAATCTGACTTGCATTGATCCCAACGTGACTTACATTTCCTTGCCTTGCAGTACCTTGTGTTGCCTTGCCTTGAGTTGTAATGCCTTGTGTTACCTTGCCTTGCCTCGCCTTGCCTTGAGTTGCATTGCCTTGTGTTGCATTGACTTGTGTTGCATTGTATTGAATTGCATTGCCTTGTGTTGAATTGCCTTGAGTTGTGTTGCCTTGCCTTGCATTGCCTTGAGCTGAAGTGGTTTGAGTTATATTGCCTTGTGTAGCATTGTTTTGAGTTGCATTTCCTTGAGCTGCAGTGGTTTGTATAGGCACTTGTTATGTCCATCTTCTTTCTAATGTTAGACAAAATATTATCACTAGATATTTCTTGGAACCTTATTCTATTTTTTCCCATCTCTCCATCATGTAAGTTCTGATCTCCTCAAGCATTATTACAAGTGGTTTAGCCCTAGCTTCAACAATAACATTGTTAAATGCCTCTGACATATTGTTGAGCACAACATCACACTTGTTGGTAGTCCTAAAATATGATCTAGACCAATATCTTGGTGGAGTCTTCATCATATGGAGATATGCCTCTCCAGTGATCATTCTCATTGCCCTCATCTCTCTTTCCCAAGCTTGTGAGTAAGTAGATTTAGCAGCGTTCCAGATAAGATCCTTGAATGTTTTTCTAGGATACCTCTTCCTAAAATTGTTATACAGATACCTAACATAAAAACGATGTTCAACATTGAGCATTGACTCTTCCGTTGCAGTTAAAAGTCGTTGTAAAATAGATTCATAACTAATAGTAAATTATCAAGAAAATAATCAGATAAATGTAAAGATTCAATAAAGTATTTAGTGTACCTTCTGTTGGTCTGAAATGAAAGTGTATGAGTGACATTCATGTCCACCCCCAGATCATCAATCAATAGCTTCAAAAACCATCTCCAACTATCTCTATTTTCACCTTCAACAACTGCAAGTGCTATGGAAAGCATCTGATCATTAGGATCCCTTCCTATAGCTACCAGAATTTTACCTCCACAAAGCCCCTTCAAAAATAAACCATCCAATCCTATCACATGCCTACATAATTTGAAACTTTCCTTGCATCCTTCATAGCATATATAAAGCCTTTTAAAAAATGGTCTCTGATCATCAACACCTTCTAGAGTAGGTTCAACATTCATCTTAACTGTTGACCCTGGATTGACTCTTAGCAGTTCATGACAATAGTCATATATCCTAGTGTAATCACCTAAAAAGGAGCCATCAACCCTATTCCTTGCAGCCACTCTTGCTCTTATTGCTTTAGTCTTGTTTACACCTACATTCCACTTCCTCAATGTCTTTTCTTTAATATCTTGGACCTTCAACCTAGGGTTGTTTTTCAATGCATTCTGAATCCTCTTGCTTAACCACTTTGTGTTTAACATCCTCACATTATACTCCATGTTGCATTTATGATTGTTAATTACTTTCTTTATTTGCCAGGTTTCCTCATTTAATAACTTGTCAAAGTAAACCTCCCAGTCACAATCTTCCTTACATCTCACCCTCACTCTTTTCTTATCATTTTTTATGATCTTGAGGGCTCTTACATTTTGAACAGCATATAAGGCAACTGCTTCCTTAATGTCATCCTTTGAAGTAAAGTACATTCCTAATTCTCATTTGTAATTAGCCATATCTTTTATCTCTTTGAAAATTAGGTATTTATTCCTTTTTACCCCACTACTGTCATCACTGTCACAACCACTTTGAAGATCCTCATTGTCATAGTCAATCCCCTTATATTCCTCTATATCTTTGTTGCACTTTCCTTTTTCTTTTCCTGTTGATATTTCATTACTATCATACAAAGTCAGGTATGCAATTTCATTTTCATCAATATCCTCATGACCATCAGATTCATCTTCAAAGGCTACTTCTAAGACACTATCATACTGGTAACTCTCATCCTCACTGTCATCAGAATTGGATTCATCGTGCACCTGACCATTAGTATTTGGCTTCACTTCAACAGGCTCCACTTCAACATTTGCTGCTTTCACCCCTACATTTGCATCATTCAATCCAGCATTACTTTGTTCCACAACAACACTTGGATCATTCAATCCATCATTAACTTCATCCACACCAAAAACAGTCTCCTTTAACTTTCCTTCAATGTCATCATGCAGCTTGCTAAACAACTCCTCCATCTCATCTACAATGTTCTCAGGCTCCTCAACAGGACCATCACAATACTTAGGTTGAGACAAACTGTGTTGAATGTAAATATGAATAATATGGTGTACCCTGTATAGGTCTGCAATTTCTAGGACATCTTTGTCATCAACTAGTTCATTCATCCCAAATAGTGGGTCTTAGTAATACATTTTATCTACATTGTCCGTATAACCTAAGTCTTTCAATACACCAACTAACTCGAACTAACTCCACCTATCAACATCTACTGACAATTCAGATACAAGCCTCCTTTATAGACACTGTACTCTGGATCAACGAACTCACCACTGTGGTGGATTACAAGTTTCAGAAATTCATCCATTAAACCTAAATCCCATAAATCCCATAATAAATATTCAGAATCCCATAACAAATATTCAGTTACGAAGACAAAACAAGAATAACATACCTGTAAAACAATCACCTACGAAATCACCTTCTCAAGCTTCGCAAGCCTCTTCCTCTTTCCTTTGGC